AATTATTGCTGCCCTTTTTAAGACCTTCTTAAACGCCTTAACTATAGAAGTTAGTAAACTATTTATATGCTTCTAAATTCTTATCTTTATAAGCATTAATTGCAACCTAAGTTCTAGAGTATTACTTAGGGTTTACAACTACTAGAGCTTGTTATATATAGGTAGTAGTAGTAATAGAGTGCGCAACTTTACATTAAGGCCTATTATAACCTGTTGTAGGTTAAAAGGAACTAATTTAGCGCCTTAGAACCTTTCTTAGATATTACTAGAAGTAATTATAGCATAATAAGCTGCTTTAAAGCATAGCAGAAACTTTATTTTTATAATATAAGTAATTTAGTTGCGCATAAGGTTTTTAGCTTAGCACTTATACGCCTTCTTTAAAGAAGCAAAACAACCTACATTAAGTAGCTATAAAAGGTGCAATAAGTAAAAAGGCATATAAATAGTAATAATTTTGTTATCTTTATAGTATTACTAAAAATAAAGCAAGTTATAGCTCTTATAGCTGTTAATAACTAGCAGACAGTAGCTGCTAACAGTACACTTTTTTATATGCGCGTTAAAGTGCTTTAACTAGTCTAGACTAAGCTAATTAGTAGTCTAGCTGCGCTTAGGAATTATAATAACTTAATTCTAGAGTAGATTTTCCTTTTTATACTAGTTTAAAAAGTAGTTGCTACCCTAGAAAATAATAAAGAGCAAAATAGCCTACCTTTTAGCATTAATGCCCTAGATAGCTGTTGTCCACTTCTAGTTGCCTAGCTAGACTACTTTTAGCTGTCCTTATCTCTCTAAACTTAATATAACTGCTCTAGTAGATATCTAGCCTATTATAAACCTTATTTTGTTAAAGTTGTACATGTTGTTATCCTAGATGCTATACTTAGCTTTAATATTCTTTATAAGGTTAAACTAGCTTTAAATTACTACAAAATTCTTATAAAAAGCTCTTTTATAGTTATACTTACACTTAAACTTTACTTTAAGCTTTAAGTAACACTTAATAAATGTATTAAGCTAGTTTATGCTAACATAGCCTATATTATGCTTAGCGTGTAAAGAATTAGCTATATTAGCTACAGCTACTAGCTAGGGGGGAAATCCTTACGCATTTAGCTTAAGTATGTGCTAAATAATTACCTACTTCTTATTATTATCTAGCTTCTATAAGTTAGCTATATAATTAGCTTAGAAAGGTTGTTTAGTGCGTTAGTTACTTATTATCTTTTAAAAGACTCTGTAGATAGCTGCAGCGTGTTACTTAGAAAGTGTTATGTCTTATTTAAAAGCTTAAAGCATAAGCTATATTTAATGTTTCTTTAACATGTTTAAGTAGTGTTGTTAGAAATACATTAGTGTAGGAAAAGTAGTGTGGTAGGGTCTTAGCAAAAGTAAGCAACTTAGGTGTGTAAGCAACTCGCCTATAAAGTACGTTATGTTATTATTTAAAATACTATACTTAGCTTTAATATTCTTTATAAGGCTAAACTAGCTTTAAATTAGTTTAAAATTTTTATAAAAAGCTTTTTTATAGTTATAGTTATACTTAAACTTTATATTAAGCTTTAAATAACACTTTATAAACATACTAAGCTAGTTTATACTAATATAGCCTAAATTATGCTTAGCTTATAAAGAATTAACTATATTACCTATAGCTACTAGCTAAAAGAAAAATTCTTATATATATAGCTTAAGTATATGCTTAATAATTATCTACTTTTTATTATTACTTAGCTTTATAAGTTAGCTATAAAATTAGCTTATAAAAGCTATTTAGTATATTAGTTATTTATTATTTTTTAAAAAAACTTTATACATAGCTATAGTATATTACTTTAAAAGTGTTATATTTTATTTAAAAGCTTAAAGTATAAGCTATATTTAATATTCTTTTAGCACATCTAAGTAGTGTTATTAGAAATATATTAGTATAAAAAGAGTAGTTTAGTAGGGTCTTAGTAAAAGTAAGTAACTTAGGTGTGTAAGCAACTTGCCTGTGAAGTACGTTAGAAGCCTCTATTTTCTAGCTTAAAGGTAATAACTAAAACTAGTCCTATTCTATATATAAACATCTTACAGCTAGTCACAGCAGAGCGCTTAAACATTCCTAACAATAGCAAGAGGCTATTTTAGTACCCTAAACAACTACAAGAAGATAACACAGATTTTAAGAAGGATATTGTACAAATCATCTCTACAGGAATCTACATTCCCTATTAATCTATAGCTCTAATTTGTATAAGCAATCTAGAACAACAAGAGTAGAAAATAAAACGCTGTAAAGAACTATTAACATATATATATAATATAAGCTAGCTTCTGTATTTAGGGAAGCTAATAAGCTTTAGAAAGTAGACTTAGTATTATTATAAAGCTAGCTTAGGTTTATCTCCTTCTAAGCCTAGATAATCTGTATGCTTAGAGATTTATCCCTAAGAAAAAACACTTATTCTTAAAAAATATAAGTAATTATTCTATTAACGCATATAAAAAGCTATGTAATAGCATTAGAAAGACTTTTAAGGCTATTCTAGCAAAGTAAGAAAACTCTGCCTACTTTTTAGGTATATTAGACAGCATTGTAGTGTTAACTATTAGTAAAACAGACATTAGTTTTAGTGCTCTAATTATTTAGCTACAAGAAGAGAACCCTTTACTAAGTTATGTAATAGAGGAAATAAGAACACAGGTATTAGTTAAACTAGAATGCTAACAGCAAGTAGAAAAAAAAACTAGAGCATCTAAAAGAAGTAAACTAGAGACTATAAAAGGAATCTAAGGCAAATTTGTCTGTTGCTATACATTTAAAAGGAGTCTTTAACGCTTAATCTTAAGGATTAAAATCTGCAGTGCAAGAGCTACAAGCGCTACAAAAGGGGCTCTTTATAGGCACTTAGCTTGCAATTAGAATAGTTTCCTAATTACTAACTTAAATTCATAACATACAATTGTGCTAGGTGTAAAACCGAGACTTAACAGTTCCTTTTTTGCCGCTTTGTGCATTTGTGGAAGTTGAGTTGGATCGGGACTAAACAGTTCCCAACGGGTACCAAAACAGGGCCTACAGTAGTATGGAGATTTGTACTATGCTTCGGATGGTGGGCCTCTTTAGTCCTCACTATAGGAATATTTTTAGAAAGTGTTAGTAAGTGTAAGTGTAAGTATATTTCATTCCCACCTTTTCTAGAGCTACATCATCACGCTGATTGAAAATGCGCTCTTCTACTATTCTCGCTCTTCCAGTGGCAGTCATCTCTGCTTCCGTAATGCCTACTGTGTCCATAGATCCAAGCCTGATTCCAGCATTTGGCGTAACAGCTGGCCAAGACCCTAACAGAAGTGGTAGCTGTGCTGGCGCTAATAATATCTTGATCCCACAGCTGCCTTGGCCGAAACAAAGTTGCACGAGACTAGGAAAGTATAGCTGAGTGTCCTGTTCCCTAAACAGGCCCCTTCGTTCATGCTCAGGGGTTGTGCAGGTCCAATTTTGGACCTTCCAATATGTGCTCAGGCTTAGATCAGGGGTCTCCCAACCAAGCTGTAATGATTGACATACTGACTCTAAAAGAAACACTCAAAAAGGATTCAACGACCACAGAGTCTATTATGTCCGTGATGACCCAAATGCGAAAATGACCAGCGCCTGGGGGGTTTGTAGTGCCTTGCCTGATCTTCAAGGAGACCGATCCCTTCAGGCCTTCCAGTGAACCTCGATGATACCCAGCAAGGAGTCCTTGGGCACGAATACCTTATGAAGAACGAATCGTTCATCAGCGGCAGCAAGAAGAGCTTTCCATTCGTCTAGGTATCGTTCACGGCCGTTGGAGAAGCACTCGAGAGCCAAATCCACTGACCTGTGAGGTTCTGTTAGCAAGCGCTTCCACGTTTCATGATCCGTTTTGACACGTGGCGACATACCTTGCAAATCGGTCCCTCCACAAGGGAATGGCTTCCGGCTCCGGCATTACCACATCCTGAATGAGAATCTTCACTCCAGGTCGAAGAGCCGGAATCTGCGCCTTCAAAGCCTGGGTCGCGAACGCGTCACCCAGACCTCGGAAGACCATGCGGAAGAAGTAGACATCCGCCTTAGCATCCTGTGGCGCAAAGAGCTCGTGTTCGTCAAACTTGACCCGGCCTGCCAACTCCGAAGGGATCGTTGAGTTTACCCCTACGAGGGTGTCCTTGGAGTCTTGGACGATGAACTTGAGTTTCGGAAAGTTCTTCGCCAACTCGAAGGCAGCTTGGCCCCGAGATCCCATACCATTGACAATTGTCGCGTTGCCGAGGGATGCCCAATCATAGACCGTGTTAATGTTCTTGATCGAGTAACCCGGAACGAGGTTGATAGCTTCCATTCCAGCTCCAAAGCGCGCTGCTACTTCAGGGTTGGAGGCGATGACCTCCGGGACTGTCTTGCCATCGTTGGCAAGAACAAAACCCTGTAAAAATCAGTAACAGCTCTCTTTTTTCCATCTAGATTCGAGATGCTCTGGGAGACAGAGTGCATCATTGACTCTACGATCGTGGCAAGCTCACCGTCTCGTTTGGCATTTGCGAATTAGGCCATTTCTGAAGCGCGTCTATGATCTATAACAGACAACAGGCGTTAGTTCATTTCTACGCGTTCTGGAGATATTCTAGAACCTGGCGCACTTACTCGCGTATTAGCAGGCCAGGTGTCTCGGCCCTCGAATTCGACCCAGCCATTGATGTAAGGAATGGTCAAGAACTTGGAAATTTTGCTGTGTGTGATCACTTCATGCTCTGGTTCGTCAAAAATGCGCATGGTAATCGCGTGTCGGACGAGACGTCTGACAGTATATTTTGCAAGGCCTGTTTTTTCAGAAATCTCATCAAAGGTGATCTTGCCTCCTGTAGGGATCATATCCGGGATTTTGTATCGGCATACTCCGTCGATGGTAACTAGATTCTCAATCTGTAATTATTAGCCCAGTAGAAAGCGCGTCAGAGTGCGCGTGAGACTTACAGAGGCGAATTTGAAGAGCAAAAGCAGAGGGTCCAGGAGAATCTCGTGCAGCTCAGCAGTTGCATCAAGCACCGCATCTTTGAGACTAGAAACATCCTCCGGCAGCAACTCGGGGCCATTCTCAGCAAATGACGGGGTCGCCGCGCCTTGGGCTGATAGCTTCTCTTGCAGTTTGGTGACAGAACTGCTAATCTGAGCCGCGAGCTCGACGATTCTCGGAGTCGTATTCTTGCTGGAAGCCATCGCGAGATAGGGAAAGAAGAGGATTCCGAAGATTGGCCAAGCGCAGAGCGCGGACACGAGAGGGACGATCATTTGTTCTTTCAAGGTGGGCCTCAACAATTGGACAGGTGATGCTCAGCTTTGCTGTAATTGCCTAATTCCAGATTAATTGCTGCAGTCGTGATACAGGACAGGGTCAAGGAGAGACAGACCTGGTGTTCCAGATAGTTGGGAAGGTGTGGCGCTTCTGCAGCTGCGACGGCATAGTCACCTTCTTGGCCTTTTTGTTCGCTCACAACCTCGCTCTGCCGCTCCAATATTGCAAGGGGTAAACTGATCGGCGAGCAACGGCAAATGCGCAGTGAAACGAACAAACCATTCTGCAAGTAGTTGCATGGATCATTCGGACACCGAAGCGACGAATGCGGCGCATGGTGAAAGTCTTTCTGTTTCGGTGGATACCGAAGATTCATGCTAGGCCTCCGGTCGGCCAAGACCACCCTGGCCAGGATGTAGGAGGATGTGGCACATAGGTTTGCAAGATGGGACCCAGCATGTATCCCTGACCTGAGTCCTTCCAACGGCGCCTGATCTAAGAGCTAATGCATGCTCTTGCACATTTTCAGGCGCGGCAATACAGCTACAGAAGACAACGGAAAGATAGCGTACCCTAGTGACTACGAACAACCTCACCAATCTCCGCCATTTCCGCCAGCCGCCAGATGTGCCAAGCCCATTGCGTTCTGTAACCGCCTTGCCTTGATTGCCGTAGTACCCATTTCCCAAGCATGTCAGTCGTATGCCTAGATTAGAAGGACAGGATCAATTCCACGACCGGATGCAACGATAAGTGAGTAAGTCTCATGCTGATACTTTCGAGGGACAAACTTCAACATTCACGATCGGCATAAGGAAACTCAAGCTTGTGGAGCATCTTTAGCTGACTTTTACATTGCATCAACTCAACAACATGCCTCCTTGGAAAAACATGCAGCAGGTCCTCAAGGACAGGGCAGATTCCGAGAACCCGGGACGCCTGTTCTGCCGCTCATTCGGCAATACCCGCAACCCTAAGGAAATCACTTACACAAGCCTATTCAAGGAAGCCAAGATTATTAGCTGCACCATTCAACGACTCAAGCAATTCCTGATTGGCCATCCGGTATTGTTACACTTTGACGATCATTGGGACGTTATCCTGTGGTTTTGGTCAGTTGTGTTCGCTGGCCGCCTGCCAGTCCTCTCATCCCCCTTCAGCAACATCGAGGAGGATCGCCATAAGCACATTCAGAACCTGTCTACTCTCCTGGAGTCTCCGATATGTTTTACCAGATCAAAATTCCTGCCTTTGTTTAGCAACAGCCACAATATACATCTACATTCCTTCGAGAGTGTAATTGACAAATCCGAACAAGGATCTTCTCATGCCAACATTTCGCGTACCAATGGCGACAACCATGATGCTGAAAGCCATCTGAATGGCCATAATAATGGCCTTACAAGTACTTTTAACAGAATTTCTACGAGAAATGGCACAAATCATGGTCAAACGAACGGCATAAAAGGTGGAGATTTGCTGATGCTCATGTTGACCTCTGGAAGTACAGGCAACGCGAAAGCCGTCTGCTTCACACGCGAACAAGTTCTGGCTGCAGTTGCCGGCAAGGCTTCAATACGCGTGCTTCCCCGGGACCGGCCATTCTTGAACTGGATCGGCCTAGACCACGTCTCCGGCCTCCTTGAGATCCATCTTCAGGCATTATAGCTCAGTGTTGATAAAATCCACGTCAGCGCTGCCAATGTCGTGACATCTCCTACGACATTCTTGGAACTAATCAGTCAACACCAGGTTGCTCTGACGTTTGCTCCAAATTTCTTCCTGGCCAAGCTGGTCACCACTTTCAAGTCACTTCAACAGAGCCTTGAGCTGGACCTCTTAAGTCTGGTCTGCGTAACATCTAGAGGCGAGGCAAATAACATTAAAACTTGCGTCACAGCATCCACATTATTCTTAAAATATAGAGCTTCTCACAATATTATCACCACTAGTTTTAGAATGACAGAGACGTGTGCAAGGTTAATTTACAACACTAACCTCTTTCTTCCTCCTACTCCTTCCTTAAACTATAGTCACTGCAACTAGCATAGAAGCAATCCTACTGTTAGGTGAGGTACCAACTTAATACTAAGAGGTTACATGCTTTAAATTGTTAAACTGAAACATACTACCTAGGTTAGAATCTGCTTAATGCAGCTAATTTTACATTCCTCCCCACAATGGATCCGGGGTTTAATGAACAAATGTCGGCGTAGTGGATCAAGACCTAGAAATCAAGGACGAAGCGAATAGACATACTAGAAACAGATGCGGGTCTGGTGGGCGCTGGCTGGAGTCGGTTTACTTCTAGGGAGTTGTTAGTTTTGGGAGGGGAGAAATTCGAAAACGTTTGGCCGGCTTAACGAACTCAGCGGCACTATCCATCTCAACCTCATTGCTTCCCACCTTGCCTTAAATCCGATATTCGCTTTCTCAAATTCACCCTTAAACAAGCCTGTCACCCTTAAACAAGCCTGTCACCCTCCGCAGCCTCCCTCCTCGCCTCTACCTCCCCATAGCTCATCCGTGTCACCAACTCACCACCTAGACCTCCTCTTCTCACGACCAGATATGGCACAGCATTAAGCTCCGCGCCGTCCTCGCTCTGTCGCGTCCGCCGCACGTAGAATTTCCACAGCCAGCAACCCAGCATGATGGGTGCGTATATAAAGACTAGTACTAGAGCGCCGAACGCTATCCATAGTCCGTCGCCGGCGACAAAATTTCTCTTGACTTCCATGAAGTGGTCTGATACCTGGTGGGCGGAATAAAGGCGGCGCGATGGCGATTCTGGTGTTTGCGATGGCCTGCAGAGGCGTTTGGGCAGCAGCAGAAGGACTATTTACGAAGTGAAGCTTGACGTCAAAAGTAAGGTTGGTATTTTATAAAAGTGCGGGAATGACTCGATTTAATATGTTCGAAGGAAGCGGCCGTGCGTGCTGTGGTCCGAAGGAGCATATACGATGTTTCGTTTCAAATTGCGGGCTGACCAACGCAACAGTGGCCACTGTCACACAGTATTAGATGGGCTATACTGCACCTGCGCTGTATTCTTCTGGATCGTTCAACTTGGAATTTGAAGAACAGTGTTACTATTTAAGGCCAAGGAAGCGGGTCTATTCATATCAAACTCTTGCAAAGATTTTGTTTTGTAAGCTGGGGGGCTCAATGATGGGCTGCCTAACCAACCTTGGCTTGGCGCCTTACAATACTATATATATCATTTAGCGCCTCGGGCCCTCCATCCACAATACATCGCTTCTCATAACTCATGCCCCTTGCAAGGCTACACGTATAATATATGGAAAGAAAGGAACAAATATAAACACAGAGCTAGCATCTCCTTCGCCTCCATTAGTGTCTCACCGGGGAGCATCTCCTTAGCTTTCTTCTAGAGAAGGGAAACTGTTGAAATCCAAGCTGCCACGCCACGGCGCCAATGGCATGTCCAAGGGTGGCTCTGTTAGTGCAAACCCCGAATTACCGCCAAAACATATTGGTCCACTACTACTTAATCCTGTCGTATGGAAAGATTCGATTTCGAGTTGGTCAACAAGGGCGAGAATATCCCACAGCCAGTCGAGCATGGGAAGGCTCGAAGGACGAGTTTCCTATTTCGGGTCGGTCAGGAATGATGGTGAGAACATTAATCTTCTTTGCTGATTTGCACTATAATAGGCCTTCCAATCGTGACTACGAAATTCGTAGCAATAAAATCGGAAGTGTCTCGCATGGTGCAGCCGTGGATGGCAGTAGTAGGGCTCGATCATTGGGGAGACTCTGATTCGTGCAGAGATACGAGGTTGGAGTCACTAGTTGCGAGCGAATTAGCGGTCAAATTAGGCGTGACGGGGCTGGAACTCGTGGTAGCGGCCAAGGTTCAGGGCGATGTATGTTTGCCCCACGGATAGGAAAGCCCTTTGCCACAACACATGGCAATGAAACAAAGAATAGGGCTCTGTTTAACAACAACATAACAAAATGTCCACCTTGAAACTCCACCCCTTAATTTCGTTGTTCTGACTTATGGTTTGGGGAATGGAGGCTTTAAAGTGCTCACCGGCGTCCCCTGTTGGGACCTTCTCCGCCTCCCTTAACTCCGTTGTCTAATCTACTCCACGTATGTAGCCATGAGGCGGGACAAGGCATCATCGAAAATACAGCAGAAGCCTTAGTCCTGTGCTCTGGCTTGGCGATCGGTATTGCTTCACGTTGTCAGTTGCATCCGTATTTCCGTCTTCGTCGTCCTCATTCTCGACCTACTCAACCCGTGCCCTCCGGTTCTTCTTTTTCTTGCCTCTCTTCGTTCAATATAGTAGCTGCAATATTTTATTTAGCTGCCTTTACTGCATAGTTTCGGATCAGTGCAGCTGCTTTCAAGCGTCGCATCCAACCTTGTGTCGCTAGACGTTTCTAGATATAGTGATGATTCCTGTCGCAAAGACAAGCTTCAGCCAGACGTTCGATATCATTGTCGTTAGTTTTAGCCATATCCGTACGCGCGATCTTCTGTGGGAGTCTTTGGATGGATGTATGTTTTGCCGGAATACGTTCGGGACAAGGCGTTATTTTCCCCGTCGGTCCTTTGCAGTGGTACTGTTGATACTCTTGGTCAAGGTTGATCCCGAGATCTTCGGCGGACTGAGCTGGGACAGTCTCCGACCGAGTTGGATCCATGTTAGGAGAACAGATGTAGAGCGGAGAGAGAATTCTTGGAAATTGCAGGCGAGTGCCCTTGTTATACATTTGCAGTATGTTTTACATGTAACAAACAATGACTACGAAAGATATCCGAGAGAACTAACCTCTGCCTTTTGGCCAAAGAATTGGCGTTACAACAGATAATGTTCAAAGACAAGCATATGTCTCTTACAAAGGGATCACTGATCCGTGGGCGGTGTCAGCAGCCTAGAAGTCTCGTGCTTTGGCCTTCTGTAGATGTCTCTTAGACTGAATTTTGACTTTGACGCCTCTCCTTCATTTTCCTTTTCCGTAGCCGCCACGGTGGCCTTCAGCTGCTCAAACTCAGCCTTTGTGTAGTATAATTGGTTCGAAAGATCTGAATTCTTTTCGACAAGCTCTTGAAATTCTCTTTTAGAGGCACGGCTGAGGTCCTCCTTGGTCGCTTCAATCTGTTTGACCTGGCTCTCGAGAGTCGCATTTGTGATTTGAAGTCGCACATGGTCGTCCCGCAACTTTTCGAGGTCCTTCTGCTGCTGCAGAACATGACGCTGAGATTTGTCTAGCTCCTCGCGTAGGTACTTCTCGAGCTTCGTCTCAGGCGAGTCATGTGTCTTGATCCCCAGCGCCACCCTCTCTTCAAGCCTGATCTCAAGCTCTCGACTGCGCACCTTCTCCTTGGTCAGCGCATCTTGCGTTGATTCTAGCGAATTCTTAAGCGAAGATTCTTTAGTTGCCAGCTCGCTGATACACGAGTTCAGAGCGTCAACCTCCTTGCGAAGCGCTTCAACGGTTTTTTGAGAGCCCTCATAGAGCCCTTTCGCGTCTTGAAGGTCCTGCTGGCCGAGTTTCCTCTCTTTAACAAGAGCGTCTTCAGCTGCTTCTTGGCCCTCTTTGAGGGAAGAATTCTCGGTCGTCAGATCGCTAACCTTGGAAGTCAAAGCGGAAATCTCCGTGTGAAGCGCTTCAACGGTCATTTGAGACACTTTGTAGAGATCTTTCGTGTCCAAAAGATCACGCTGGTCGCGTTCCCTCTCTTTCGCGAGTACATCTTCAGTTGACTTTCGGGCTTCTTTGAGTGAAGAGTTCTCGGTCGTGAGATTATTGATCTGCTTTTCCAGAGCGGAGATCTCATCGAGATACTTTGTAAGGGTTTTCTTAGATGGCTCGTTGAGTCCTTCGGCTGAGAAGACCTCACTCTCAATGCTGTCGATCTTCGTCCGCAACTGATTTACAGTCTTCTGCGACTCATTGTAGAGTTCGGTCTTCTCTTTCTCTACCCGAACTGCAATCTCATCTTGCGCGAGTATTCGTCGAATCTCAGCAGCCGCAAACTCAGCATACGCTTTCCACAAGGCTTGAGACCCCACTAAGAGAGACTTCTGCTGGTTTAGCCAATACTTTCGCGCAGCCTCAGTCAGGTTAGCAAGCCGGATCCATTCCTTGGCAAGCTTCGCTGCCTGCTTGGTGTGGTCGTCGCACATGTTGTACACCGCGAGATATTCGATTTCCTTGTCTTTCATTACATCTACGATTCCGAGCGAGTTTTCTACGAGTTTAATGCTGAGGCTGTGGCATCTTGGGACGCTGGACTTACACTGAGCGCCTTGTGCGTCAAGGCCTCGGCAGGGATGGGATTTGCGGTCTATCTCTTGAATTTTGAACACCTCATTGAATAATAGATTATTAGATAGGCTCATCTGACAGGATTCGGGGAGAGTAAGGTCGAGATTGTTGTTCCAAGCCGCAGCGAAGTCCAGAGTCGATCCTCTACCAGGTATAGGTTGAGAAGCAGACGTGGTGACTATGGGTGATGCGTTTCCGAATGTGAACGGTGGCGGTTTTCTACTTGCTGTAGGTGCCGAAGCCGCTGGTGGGTCGTCTCTCTTGCCCGCCGTTTCACCTTCCTCGGTAACATTTGCCTGGGTTGTTTCCTTGCCGTCTTTGTCGTCCCGTTCAGGTGCAACTGTTCCTGGGAGAGACGCGACTGCGATATGTGGGATTGGGGTGGGCGCAGATAACTCCTTGGCTTCGAGAAGAAGAGAGGCTACTTCTTCCTCAGGGATCTCGTCATCAAATTCTTCTCCATCATCATCACTGAATTCTTCCCCATCTTCATCGCTAAGCTCCTCGCTATTATCGTCTCTAGTTTCATCTCCATCATCACTTAGTTCTTCGCGATTCTCATCGCTTAAATGTTCACTTTCACTGCCGACGAAACTCAGATCATCGTCATCATCTTCGTCCTGTTCAGGCGTCTCCAACGACCATCGAGTAGTAGATGGGCTCGGTGAAGGTGGTAATTTGACTCTAACCCGGTGGCCGTTGGATGTATATCGGATGGGCGCCGCTTTGGACGATTTAGAAGCGGATGCAGTCCCTCTAGACGGAAGATTTACGAGAAATGTTGGGTTTCCGCTCGTTGCAGGTGGGGCTGTATATGTAGATGGCAGTTGAAACGCCATTTTCGCAAAAATGAAGGTGCAGCTGGTGGGACTAGACAATGTTTCTTTAGATATGTGATGATGGATTGCTGCCTTCTTTTGATTGTCGACTGATCAACCCAGATGAGTATTTTAGCGAGATTGAAGGACGACTGTGCCGCAACGCAGGGGGTTATGTTTGAGACGGGAAGCGCCCGCCAAGTGTTCCTCCAGGGAGGGTGGTTTTTGACCAATCAGAGGGCCGCTTCCCTATTCCTACTAGCGTCAATTTTACTGTCGGAACCTATGGATCGCTCTGTCACTTACTTTCACGTCTATTATTTCAATCTCTTCAAATAATGTCATCGTAGACCGCTCTTGCTGCTTTGCAGTAGCGTGAATCTTGAATATATGAGGAACCCCCCGAGGAGTCCATGACTAAAGATACTGCCCAAACCAAGCAAGCGCAAAGCAGATGATGAGATTTGTGACGGCGCGTACCGCGTCACATGCTCTGCAGCTTCAGCTCCCTCGCTTGCGCAACGAGTAGCGCCTTGGTAGGGGAAACACATGTATATTTAAACTCGTAGAGCAGCTCCTCTGCTCCTTAGTTTAATCTAGTTGGGTTACACCACCTCTTGCTTGTAGCTTGAGCATGCCGATCGTAACAAGATTCGACAGGCAAAACATCCCATTTATTGCCAAAAGAGGGGTTCAATGATTATGGCCAAGGCTCTTCTGTGGATGAGACCGCTCACGATGAGCATTATCAATATATTTAGGACTCTGAGGATGAAAATCTTGACTTGGCCTTTACTGCAATTCTGTAATGAGGTAGGCGCCCTGCCTGCCAAGCCAATACTATACGACTTTCCCCACTGTACCAAAAGGTACGCACGAGAATACTTAAGCTAAGTATTCTCGCATAGTATGATATATATATAGATAATGCTAGGGCTAGCACTAGCACTAGCGGTTGTCTCTAGTCTAGCCTAAACCTCTATAAGCGAGAGAAGGCCACGTGGTTGACTATGCCTACCTTGTTCTAAATTCTAGAAGAAGAGAATGCTTTACCTAGAATTGCTCTTTACCTGTTTAGGAATAGAGGAAATGGTAGAAACTTTTAAAAACTTCTAAAAACTTCTAAGCTAAATAAAATATAAAATACTAAGGCTTACTTAAACATAAGAATATTGCAAGCTTTATATAACATACACTATAACGTAC